GTTGTGGGACAGCGGGTAGAATGGCACCAGAGAGGCCAGCAGGCCTGGAAGCCCAGGTGGGGGGCCCAGCCCCCGGCGGCAGGACTCCGTGAGAGGGCATGTGGAAAATCAGCTGCCCCCAGTTTCAGATATCCTGGCTGAGGTGGCTCCCCTAGACCAAGCCCATCACTGGAGACCCCTGCTGCCCACCCACCCTAGGGACAGGGACTCATCCAAGCCCAGGGGTGTCCACAGTTGCCCACAGCCAGGGGGGTCCACCCGCAGGTGGAAGAGGAAGAGTGGCGGGGGTCTCAGGAGAGTGAATGTGGGGGCGGGGGGCAGGGGTGGGGGGAAGAGAGACCTGGTGACACCATACAGCAGCCAGGAGAGAGAGAGAGAGAGAGAGAGAGAGAGAGAGAGAGAGGTGGGAACACGGCCCCTTAAGCCAGGGGGTGTCGTGAAGGCTGAGGCTGAGGCAGCGCTTTCTGGGACGGCAAAGCTGGGTATCAGAGACCCAGGAGAATCCGCAGGGTCCCTCGGGAGGCCCCGTGCCCACCTCTGGGCCGTTCTCTGTCCCCCAGTGACTGGCATGTCCTGTGGGACCCACCGCATTGGCTACATGTTCCTGGGTGAGGTGGCACTGGGCCAAGAGTACCACATCACCAGCGACGACCCCAGCCTGAAACAGCCACCCTCAGGGTTCCACAGCGTCATTGCCCGGGGCTACACGGAGCCTGGTGAGTGCACGGACCTAAGGTGGGGGGGCGGGGGGCTGAGGTCAGGGACCCAGGTGGTCCTCAGAGGTCAGGGAGCAGGCTTCCCTGCCACCGTCCATCCGCCAACAAGCCCGGGATCCTGGGCCATCCAGGAGGGCTTCACGGAGGAGGTGTCATGCCTGGGTGTCGAAGGGCGAGGGGGGGTGTCCCAGGCTGCACAAAGGCCAGCAGGTGGAGGGGTCAGAGCAGGCAGGCGGGAGTCCCCTATGGCGGGCCTGGAGAACAGAGTGGGTGGCACCGCCCCAGGGCCGCCCCCTCCTCCCTTCCCCCCACCCCCCACCCCCGTATCCCTGCCCCTGGTAAGGCCAAGGACCAGTGCCAGTGACCCACAGGCCGCTCAGGGCCCCTGCTGTGTCCTGCAGATCCAAGCCAGGACACAGAGCTGGAGCTGGATGGGCAGCGCGTGACGGTGCCGCAGGGCCGGCCAGTGCCCTGCCCCAAGTTCAGCAACTCCAGATTCTCCCAGAGCGAGTACCTGGTCTACCAGGAGAGCCAGTGCCGCCTGCGCTACCTGCTGGAGATTCGCCTCTGAGCCACGGGCAAACACACCCCCCCCACTCCCCCACCCCACCACCCCCACACCCCCCACTCCTCTCCCACCTTCCTGCCCACCCCTTCCTGCAGGACCCGCCCTGCCTCCCAGCCGGTGACCACCCACCCTCCCTCCCATCCCTCTTGCTCTAGGCAAGGCAGCGCCCCCGAACCCCCTCCTCCGCCAATGGGAGTGGCCGGGGTGGCCAGAGGCCTAAGTGTTGGGCCCACGGCCATGCGGGCAGCACGTTGGACCCCCAGTTGCTCCTTGGGAGAAAGCGGAGGCAGTCTGTTCCAGTGAAGATGGGCAGCCCCAGAAGCCGGGGGGCTGGGGGCAGTTCTGCCAGGTCCTGCAGGACGGCTGGGAGTCAGATGCCACTGGGCAGCAGCGGCCTGGGTGCAGCTGCCGAGGAAGGAAGTGACCGAAGATTCGAGAGTGAGGACTTGGGCCCAGTGGACGCCGTCTGATCAATGCTGCGTGTGTGCGTGGTTAGAGGGGCCCCAGCCCAAGGGGAGGCCAGCCCCCGATCCACACCCTACACCTGAGAATGAGGTTGAAGTTGGCCTTCACGGCCAGGTGTATTAAACTCCATGTTCACACCCTCTGGCCGCTGTCTGCCTGTCTCTCTGCAGGGCGGACCCCACACGGGCTGCCACCCACCACAGGGAGCAGGACTACCCTGGTGGTGCTGCGCCCATCATCAAAGCAGCCCACAACCCCCAGGAACTGAGCTTGTCGAGGGGACCCTCACCATCCACTCCAAACTGTCATTTGGGAACTGCCCGCCCCCAGCCCCATGATGACTCATAGCTGCCACCCATGGGCTTGTGACTTGCTCCGAGGGACCCGACTTCAGCCCACACGTCGCCAGGCAACCCTCACGTCTTGGTCCACACCTCCGTTGTTGTCTTGCATCGAAATGCCCTAAACAGAAGCGTGCGGCGCTCTGAGCCCCACGAACTGCAAGCAGAGGCAGCTGTGGGAGGAGGCCAGCAGGGAGGCGGGTTACCCGTCCAGGCTCCCTGTGCACGGGGACACCGCAGAGGCTGATATGTGGGTGTCATTGCCATGGCTCCTGGTCTTCTGGAAGGCCGAGCAGTCAGAAGCCTTTTCCCTTTCTCTCCCCTCACTCCGTCACTTTGAGTGTTGGCCCCTGAAGGCCCCAGGCCAGGCGCTCTGTAGGACAGCTCTCCGCATGGGGTGGTCCGCTCGCTGTCTGCCCCATCAGATCATGGCATTGCCACGGGGGCAGGAACACCACATCAGGGACACGTCTGGGAGGGACAGGTGCTGTTCTTGGTGATAAGGATGAGCTCCCACCGCCCCATCAGGGTGATGTTCACCAGGTCCCTCCCCATTGCGATTCAGCCATAACCAATAGGGAGATACTTAAGGAGTGTCGGCACCCCCTCGCTCACCCACCTCCACCCATCGGTGGTCGTGGTCGTGGTGAGTCAGAATCAACTTTACCTGAGGTCAATGCCTGGAGTCCATTTCCGGGACTGCCGCTGTAGCTCGCGGTTCTCGAGCGTCATGGGTCCCTCTTGGCACTTCCCAGGGCTCTCAGCCGACTTCCTTCTGGGTGGGCTTCCTGGGTTCTTGTCTTACCCAGCGGGGAGAAGCCATCACTGTCTTCTTTCACTTCGCTCTTCAAATCCTCCTGGCCTGTGCCAGTGGGAGGTCCTTCGGCCGGCTCCCGGGGCCCCCTCACTTCTGGCATAAGATGCCCAGGCTCAGTGGGCATAAACTTGCAACCAGCCGTTTCTCCGAAGAGCGGGGGCCCCAAGATCCAGAATCCAGACTGGGTGTACGCCTTGCTCCTGGATAGTGCACTGCTTTGAAGTCCTTTTAGCAAAGAGAGCTCAGAACACATATATCGCAACACACACACACACACACACACACGCCTGTCTCTCCATTTCTAGGCCAGCAGCAGTGCTTTCAGCCCCACCCACGCACCCCGCCCCAAGCTGTATTTCTTGCTTGCTTGTCCAGCATGAGAACTTTCCATCAGCACCCACCCAGCGAGCGTTTGCCTGCCCTGCACAAAGAGAGCTTCCTAAGAGTGACACCCACGCCTTGTAAGCTGGGTCCCGCCCCCCCTGGACTCTGTCTCCATTCCCTCCGGGCAGCTCGCAGCTCGGTGGCAGTAGAGATCAGTGGACGGCTTATTCTCCCCTTTAAGGAGCTTTGCCCACCTGCGTCGATTTCCTGGTTGCCTTTGACACGTAACACGTTCCAAACCTGGGAGAACGTCCGAACTCTACAGACGGGCACGCTCAGCAGTCAGCCCTCCACCGGTGCCCGCCACCCCGTGCGGGCCTGGGCACACTCTCCCCTGGTTCAACCTGTTGCATGTTAGAACAGAGAGGGTGCTAGGGAGCATTTTCATGTTGGACTTATCTGTGGTTGACCAGAAATTGGTGATTCATTTCCTAAATTACCAAGCCATCCCTCCTGATTCCATTCACCAGCCTAGCTTCCTCATGGGTCAGCCCCTGTGTATGTGAGGGAGAAAGACAGGCTTGCTGCTCCCATGAGGAGTGACAGCCCCCAAACCCACGGGACAATCCTGCCCTGTCCTGCAGGGCTGTGAGTCGGATCCCACTCAATGGCAGTGAGTGTGGGTAGGAAGTTCTTCGCTCTCTTTGCTAAAAGAGACCCCGAGCAAGGAGCCCACCACTCAATCGATCACTCGATCGATCTTGGATCCTAATCTCAAAGCCATTTCCTGCGGCAAGGCCTGGCTGGGCAGGGGGGAGAGGACAGCCAGGGGGTCAGCCCTCCTCTCTCTGACCCAAGTCTCACAAAATGCAGCTCCTCCTCCGAGAGACAATTGCCCACCTGCAAACTGTGGCTCCACCCACGGGGGCTCTGCCGCTGGGCGGGGTTCCTGGAAGCAGAGATTAAAGTCTCTGGTGGTGCAGTGGTTAAAATGCTTGTCGAAGGATGACCCGTAAAGTCAGAGGGCTGCGCCCACCAGCCACTCCAAGGACAGAGGGCTGTCCGACCCGGTCCTGGAGGGCCACTATGTGTAGCAATGGGTTTGGTTTGACTTGAGTGTAGGAAGCAGACTTCCTGGGTCCCTGATATCGCCCGGCTGGGTGATCTGGTCAACATGCCTTCTCTCGACCCATTCTCCTCATCTGAAGGATGGAGACTTGGACCAAGACTCTTCTGACCTCAGCTCCAGATGAGTTAAGCCTGAAGGTCTGTCCAGATACCGTCTGTGTGCCCGTGGGGGTGCTGGGGCACAGGCAGGAGCAAGAGACCAAGGCCCTGCTCTGGTGGGGCTCCCCTTCCAGTAACGGGGGTTCTGAACATAGCGCACAAGTATGAAGTGTCCTCTCAGGCAGGGAGCACAGACACTCCCTCCCGGGCAGAAGGGTGGGAGTGATGGATGGGTGGAATAGGTCTACAGGAGAAGCTTCCGGAAGGCCCCTCTTGAGCAGAGGCCCCAGTTCAACCACCTGGCGGGGAGGGGTGTTGCTGTGGCAGGAGGAACCACCAGTTCAGAAAGCCCCAAGGGGCAGCTGGGTTTGGCATGTGGGCAGCACTGTGACTGCTGAGTCTGGAAGGGAAGAGGGAGGAGCTGAGGTCAGAGGGTGGGGCGAGGACAGGTGGGTGGCAGAGGCCGCCACACAGCCCAGAGGCGCCAAGATTGGATCCCAGATTGGGGAATGCTCTTGAGAGTTGGTTCCAGAGGGATGCACTTCAGGGGCTGCTGCATGGAGGGTGGGCAGTAGCATGTGCTGTCCGTCAGTCAGGGTCCAGCCGGTCCTCTAGAGGGGAGGAGTTTGAAGGAAGGGATGGTGTCAGGCCATCGGGAGGCCTGGGTGCAGAAGTCAGAACCACGTGGAGAGAGGCCCTCGCCGGGGGAGGGGGGAGTCCCCTGGCCCCCCCCCAGTCTTCTGCTGGTAAGTGCCCCTGGCTGCACACCACACTGGCCGAGGAGCTTGGGGAGCACAGCTTCCTGGGAAGAGTGCTGCCAACAGGCTGAGGTGCGGGAGCAGGGAGGAGCCTGGCAGGGGTGAGGAGGGTGCAGACGGGGCCAGGTGATGGGTGGGGTGGCTGGGGTCAGGCTGGGTTCTGAACCCACTGGTGGGTTTGATGTGGACTTGGGGAAAGGAAGGAACCAAGAAATGTTTCTGAGAGGAAGTGTACTCTTAGAAGCCAGCAGGTGCGCCCCAAAGTCTCCACTCACCTGCCCCGTGCACTATCCTAAAGCCACTACTCTGCACCTCCTGTGTGTCTTCTCTTTCACCTGTCCCCGCCTCCCCTCTCCCTGGATCAGCCCTGCTGGGGGCCAGGGTGTACTAGGGTCTTCTCCTTCCAGCCCGGGTGTCACCAGCACTTCCATTTGGGCTCAGACAGAGGCTGACCAGGATGCGGGAGGAGAGCAGGCGGGGAGCCCTTCTGCCACCAGGACAGGTAGCACAGGCTCAGACTGACACCA